CGCGCGCGGACTGAGCAGGACAGGCCAGTTGGTTGGAGTAGTAAAATAATACTCCCTTGTCAGCAGTGTGTACAACAGTCACATGTAGACTGCACACAACTGGTCTTTGTAGTGCATCGCAGTTTTGGGCGATAAAAAAAACGAAAAGCGAATCGCAGCCAGTGAATTTTGATTCGCAAACTGCGATGCGAACCCGGATAAATCGATCCCTGTATGTATACAGGTAGAATGGACTTTGCTCTGGGTATGGAAATTATGTCGTTATTCGCGAATAGTCGTTAGTAGCGAAGTTGACTGTACATGTGTGCAGTATGGGGGATCTGTGGGTGGGTGGGGGTGTTGTGTGGGTGTGTAGTTGGTTTGAATATTGCTTGAGACGAACTTGATGAAAAGTACAGTCAGACCTCGCTTAACCGCACACATCTGTTTTCCACAAAAATATCCGGATAGGCGAGGGAACCGGATAACTGAACACACATACTGTATATGCATGTGGCATATCAAAAGCAGTGACATCGTACATACATGTAGACGGGTCCTATGCAGTACAACTAGCGTGCACAGTATGTAAAACAAGCTTGAAAAATGACAAGTGCATGCAACTGAGTGCTGTCCACATGCACCCAGCAGGTCAAGGACCTCATTTGCCTGTACAACTCCCTGATTCTAGCTTCTGCAAGGCACATGCAACCGGATACGAAGAAGCTTTTTGTACACATTTCAACCAGTTTGTACACAAAATCATGCACCGGTATGCGGATCGCGAGGTCCGGTTATGTTGTATGCATAACATATGCTGCACATCGGTAACCAGCGATTTTCTTCCGGATGGCGAGGGATCCGGATAAACGAGGACCGGATAAACGAGGTCTGACTGTATGATAGGGCGATGCTTGGAAGGCCGTGAATTTCCGAAGAAAAAAACAGCGTGGCATCCGTTTCGTACTCAGTTAGAAAATGTATCGAATAGAAAGTGTTGTAGTACGTTATTTTGTGTACGTCGTGTGTACGTCATGTTGGTGCATGCGCGTGTTGCTGTGGTGTGAAAAGCAGTCTTCGTCTTGAATTCATCATGTCTTCGTCTTGAGTTCGTCATGTCTACTTGTGTTTCCGTCGTCGTCTTGTAATAAACAGTCTTCCTAAATGTAGTTATCGTCGTCCCTTTGTACAAGTGTGGAGATGGCACGGAACCGGGAGCAGGTAGAGAAAGCCAGTTGCAACAAAAGTATATGAAATTATGAACCCTGGAACCAACAAAGGTGGCAGTTACAACATAACAGCTTCAAGCAGCCGAGCCTGAAACGGATGTGTATGTTGTTTGTGTGGGTGTCTGTCTGTGTCTGTGTGTGTATGTGCGTTGTGTATTGTCAATGTGTTTCTTCAGGTTTTCTACTGCTTTCGACAGCACTCCTTGGAGTTACTGGACCACTACTTAGAGGAGTTCCCTGATGTCAACGAACGTGTGTTTGGCAAGTTCATGGTTAGTGGTATGTCACTCGCTGAAGGAGAGCTCAGGTGTGAAGGGGTTGTGTTTTGCATAATGCCTCATCCAGAAGCTATGGTGGATGTCTTTGATGGATTGCAGTGTCAAGCAGAGAATAGGGAGAAGCTGCTCACTCTCTGTCTATTCCCAACCTTTCACTTTTAGCTTATTGGGCGCGTAGTGATGCTTCGTCGCGTGTCACATGACTGTCACCATGGATACTGGTAATCAGCAGACTTCTCTTGGAGAGCACGAGGTATTCATCAGTACATGCCGGCTCCTTTTCCTGAGTGTGTTGATAACGAACTTGTGCACATTCAGTAAGGAAGCTAATCAATGCCACATGTGGTAAATAAATGGATACCGTATTCTCTGAAACTGGGGCCGGTCTTTTATTGCCACCTGTCTGAAACAAGTGCCACATCATTTCAGGACCTTTCTGTGTGTGTGTGTGTGTGTGTGTGTTTGTGTGTGTGTGTGTGTGTGTGTGTGTGTGTGTGTGTGTGTCTCTCTCTCTCTCTCTCTCTCTCTCTCTCTCTCTCTCCCTCTCCCTTTCTCTCTCCTCCCGCTGTTTAGAGATGGCTGGTATCAAGGGAATCAGTGTATGGTATGAAGCTACCTGGTGGTTTCCAACTGATTGGCCAGGATGTCGTAAGTGTAACCTGCCTTATCCCCCCCCCCCACCACCACCACCACCACAATCAACCACATACAATCCTATTGGACTTTCCACTAAAAAAACCGCTCATTATGACTGCGACCTGAGAATGGGGACAGACGTAATCGGGGAACATGACAGTTGAGCAACTCTAACTGCCATTACTGTGAATTCAAGACAGGAGGAAGCAGTTTTTACTTGGTCAGGCCTTACCATAGTCTTTCATACTTTCTGTATGATATGGAGGGTATGCACTTGACCTCCTCAGCAGTAAACACATGCACTGATGGCCAAAAAAGTTGGTCCGGCCATGGCCTGACCAAGCGGACCGGTTCCGCCTGGCTTGCGGTGTCCTGTGATCATTGTCCTTCAACCTCCGTTACATTGTGGGGTGTGCAGCCCACAGGAGCTCTGCTGTGGTGCACAATGCTGCCGTGAATAGCCGATGGTGTTTTCCAACTGGAATATATCTTGTTGCTGTCTCTGCTGTCTGTCACTGTTCTGTGTAACTAGTTATATCGATGTTGATCTACTTCACATTGTTTTTTGATATGGCTTCTTGTTATAGAATCTGTGCGTGTGTGTGTGTGTGTGTGTGTGTGCGTGTGTGCTTTGATATACCCAGGGCTTATCCGACTACGAAAAGTGGGTAGCAGTCTACTCCGGAGCAAACCCTGATGAGCTGCGGCGCTTGACTAGACCAATCACAAAACGTTCGTATGCAAGGTATGTAGACCATCTGGCTTGTTATTTGTACGAAGTAGTTCAAGTTAACACCAAGTATGGCAAAGGCAACCCATATTTGACTGACCAGGAGTTTCATAGCAAAGATTTTAACTTTAGCACCATGAATTTCGCATTCGAGTTCGCGAACTGGAATTCGAATTCCCAAACTTTCGCTTCGGAAAAGCAGTCCGAACACGAGTCGCGTATTCGTGTAGCGTAGCACAGCGAAACCTCTCTAAGCCGACCGTTCAAGGGACTTTCAAAATGTGGTCTCTGTTACCAGGTGGTCTCCTTATCCTGGGTCATTTGACTGGAAATAGCAGCTCTCGGTCCATGTTGGATCGGTTTTCTGGGACAGGTGGTCGGCTTATGAAAGTGGTCGCCTTGACAGGTTTCACCATGCGTTGTACTGTCTGTGCACATGTACGACTTGCCCACGTCATGCAAACGTAAATTCTGTTTGCTTATCCTTACCACAATTCAAATTCCGTTACTGAGTTCGACTTTCATGGGAATAAGAACTCGGCCGCGAAATTCCTCTTGCTAAAACTCCGTAGTATCTCCGAATGTTCTTGACCTACAGTAAAACCTGTAACTAAAGACCACAGTGGCTAGCGACCAGCCTGGTACTACAGACCACTTCGCCAGGCACGGACGGTGTCACATTCATATTATGGTTGTGCGGTACAAACCTCTACCTAAGGACCACCTGCCACTAAAGACCGCCTTCTCTGGCCCAAAGAATTGGTCGTTAGTCACAGGTTTTACCAAGAGTCCATAACCCCCAGAGTGTGCAACGCGCGATAGGGTCTTGTCACGACTCGTTTTAACATTACGTCATTTTCATGTACATTTTCATGTCGCGAATGTCGCGGCCTGCACGCGCAGCTACATGAAAATGACGTAATGTTGAAAACCAGTCGTGACAGACGTTTATGTGGCGTTGCACACTCTGGGGGTCATGGACTCTTGGTTTTACTGTATTTAGAAAGGAAAGGGACATGTGGATACGAGTAGTTGACCCCCACTGGCACTGTCCTCGACAGTACTGTCATAAAATTTAATGTACGAAGGAAAGGTGGACTCCACCTTTCCTTTCTACATTTTATTATTGGCTCAACATCCGAGTTTCAAATTCCTGACCTATTTGATTTTTTTCTCGACTCTCCCTGTGGTCCAGGATTGGTCTGGTCGGTAACCCTAGCGATGGTTTCCATGGCAAGACAATATCCATGTCCATTGCCAACTTCTGGGCGGACGTGACGATCAAGGCCAGCGACAAGCTGATACTGGTGCCGCACCCGCTCAACGACCCGACCGAGTTTGGCAGTCTGGCGGACCTTCACGGGATTAGCCGCAAAGAAGGGTACGTACCATCTGCGTCCATAGATGTTGGCTTTTTAGTCTACAGGTTTTGTGTATGTGTGCGTGCACGCGCGTGTGTGTGTGTGGGGGGGGGGGGGGGGGGAGAGCATAGCTGCACCTCCGTCGCTTTGTAAAAGCCACAAAAAAAAACAGTAAAACAGCCTGTTCCCGTTCGCAGTGCCTCATGCCACGTCCCAAAGCCTTGAAGTCGCCCGTTTGGGGACACACAGTCAATTGTGGTGGTGGGCGAAGGAGGAGGAGGGTGGGTGGATGGATGGATGGATGGATGGATGGATGGATGGATGGATGGATGGATGGATGGGTGGGTGGGTGGGTGGGTGGATGGATGGATGGATGGATGGATGGGTGGGTGGGTGGGTGGGTGGGTGGATGGATGGATGGATGGATGGGTGGGTGGGTGGGTGGGTGGGTGGGTGGATGGATGGATGGGTGGGTGGGTGCGTGGGCATGCTCTACTCCAGCTAATACTTTAGTTTGTACTGTTACCTGTGTATGTTTGCGCTGCAGCTATCTAGGAGGTCTGCGCCTGTTGCAGGCCACGTGTAAGAAATTCTATCAGTACTGCTCTGAACGAGGGTAAGGACAGTCTAGGGGCTTACACAGGGGCGTCGAAACCGGTGCGGCAGGTCCGGCCAAAGCCCCACCAATAATTTCATCTTGTGACTTTTGAGGCAATGAAATCTGGGCTATTTGGGCCCATTTCCCTAGCATTTTTACGGGGGAGGACCCCCGGATCCCCACCTACTCATGCGGCCGCACCAATGTCGAATACCTTCCGACACCCCTGCTTACACTCCATTCATCCCAAAGCTGACACTTTACTGTTACCCTAGCCTTCTCTGTGTCTCACATGTAGAGTTGTACACTCCGTGAAAACAACTGTACTTCTGCAATGTGTGACCTGTGCAATTCTTTCTCACTACATTTGAGGTCGGAGAGTCAAAGAATAGGAAGTTCAAATCCACTTAAAGGGGCACTCCGGGAATATTTTCGGTGGTGTGTTCCCTTAATGGGGGCCTTATATGGCCCCCAAGGAATGGGGAATCGCGAAAACTAGACCCAAAAAGTCGATATATGAAGCCAGGGAGGGCCAAGTTTGTCTCCTCTTTTGATGGTTTTGATGACGTCACGTGTGATTAGTATTCAAATTCTCTGCATTTGAAGATCTTAGTTTTTTGAATTTTCTGGTGATGAAGAACGATGTTTGGTCAACATTCCCAAGCTTCACAACTGCGACCATACTCTAAGGAACCTGAAGGACCTCCTGAGGTGCTCCTGGTAGAAGCGCAGCCTGATGAGGGCCAGGAAATTGGAGCGGACGACTTCACTGGTCGACAAGGAAATAACGATTGGTGTTCCTGCCAGAAATGTGGGGTGATACAGGGGGCAGTCGATTACCTTCGCTGTCGAGAGAGCGCTGCAGCTGTTAGCATTGACAGCCATTTGAGATGCGTTACACATCACCCCGACTTCGCGTCAGCTTGTCTAAACAAAACTGTTCTGACCATATGCCTCACGGCATATAGAGAATTTCGGGATCCTCGTACTCGGACCAGTGAAGTCGTCCGCTCCAATTTCCTGGCCCTCATTAGGCTGCGCTTCTACCAGGGGCACCTCAGGAGGTCCTTCAGGTTCCTTAGAGTATGGTCGCAGTTGTGAAGCTTGGGAATGTTGACCAAACATCGTTCTTCATCACCAGAAAATTCAAAAAACTAAGATCTTCAAATGCAGAGAATTTGAATACTAATCACACGTGACGTCATCAAAACCATCAAAAGAGGAGACAAACTTGGCCCTCCCTGGCTTCATATATCGACTTTTTGGGTCTAGTTTTCGCGATTCCCCATTCCTTGGGGGCCATATAAGGCCCCCATGAAGAGAACACACCACTGAACATATTCCCGGAGTGCCCCTTTAATCCAGCCAGGTTTCACACTATTTCGGCCAGGTATACCATGGCAAAACGTATAGGGAAGCAGTTCCGAAATCCGAAAAAGCCTGCACACCATGTTGTAGTGAGTCACATTGCCGTCACGCTCTGCTGATCCACTGTGGGTAAACAGTAAATCGTTGATGTCTCGTGTGTTTTCAGACCTGTCTTGAAATTTGTTTGATCCTTGAGGGTGGTGACGTTCCTGTGGATGTGCAAAGTGTAGTCTAACTGACTAAAGCGCGAAACATGATTTTTTTGGAAATTTTTTCGATTGTTGCCTTTTCAGCACTTGCATGAGTATGTGCACCTTTTGGGCCCACTTGTTCCTCGTTCCTTCGTTCCACTTGTCTTATGCGATGGCTAGGCAAGCTTGCTTGGCGATGCCAAATGCGGAAAACTTGGAAATGTTTATGATCAGAATAATACGCAAGAGAGAGATTGGAAGCTGTGTTGTAACTCTGAGTTTCACGTATTACTACGATCATCGGGCAACATTTGATCAGGTTCACTGTGTTTGTTGTAATTGTTCAGCATTGCTCTGGCCAAACGCAACTTTCGACTGGAGTACGACACCAACATACCGAGACAAGTGGTAAGCACAGAATATGTCACTTCACTGCTGTCGCCAGCAGACATCTGTGATGGCAGAATTAATAATACTGAGTACATTTATGTGCGTGAGCAAGAATAATGGACTCTATCTTCGCTCTCTGAAGCTTGCTTATGCAGCATCTAAGACTCTTGGTGCCTTCTCAATCTGTCCAATGTTAGGAGGTGGCCTGAAAATAAAGTAAGGTCAGCTGAGAGCTTTTTGGGAATACATGTGGTAGCGATGTCCTGGTTGCAGAGTTGTCCATGTTTGGGAGGTGTTTGCTAAGAGATGTTCTACTGTACATGTAGTTACGTGTGTGTGATCATTCATTCAATTTGGCTGGTTGTTTTTTTGGCTTGAATTACCATCAATGCTTTCAGGTCTTTCTTGTCAGTTCGTGTAGGAGGAGGTTTTTAGCGGGCACTTTCTGGTGTGTGTGGGTGTGTGTGTCTGTCTTTCTGTTTGTGTCTGTGCATGCTGTTTTGTGTTTCTGTTTGCCGCATCCCGTCTTGCAGGGCTTGGCTGGAAGCAGGTAAGCTTCCTGTGTGTGCACAGATTACGCAGTGATCTGCTCTGTTGCGGTTCAATCACGATTCTGTTCTATCTTGTCAAGCTTTGCTTTATTGTACATGTAGGCCAGTGCTATTCCAAGGGTGTATACTTTAGTTTCATCATCTTATTTTCAGTACACCCAACTCGCAACACACAAACAATCCTGCATG